CAAGTGACACCACTCATCTTGTTATTCTGCTTTGGGTTCAAAACACCAAACACTGGAAGCAAGGAGGAGCAAACAGAGCCACGGATTAATCAAGAAATTGAATCGTACCTGTGATAATATTAGCTACAATCTTTGGTGGAATGGTGAATTAAAGAAAACAAATGTACAGTCCACCCGGAAGGCCTGAATGATTGGAAAAAAGACGGATATGAGTGAATGCATGAGTAGTAGCCCTGGGGATGATGAAAGCACTTAGCCGTATTTTGCCTTGTTCATTTAAGTTAGCTCTCTGGAGGGCGAAGCTAACACCAAATCCTATTGCGACTACATTAATTGTAGTAATAGTGATTCACTTGTAAACAAAGACCTTAAGAAATGTTGAAATGCCATTGTAGGACCTACACTTTTGCTAATTAACCTCTTCGACTAAGAATATTACCTTCTCATTTGTCCTCTTAACAAATTGTTGGCTCTCCGACACAGAGTGAGTGGTTGAAGCCTGTCAGTGAGCTGTCGTTTGCCATAGCCAACCACTCTGCAGGCACATGTGACTGCTATCTAGCATAGGCAGCTTAGCCTCAGTTAATGAGTTATGGTGATTTGTTACTGCGATACTATTTAGAGAATCCAGAGGCTGACCGGAATGAAACTGTTGTTAGGCAGCAAGAGGTTGTAGCCGCCTATTACGTTAAAATCTGCTGGGTACTTTCAGCATAAGATTAAAATGGTTGCATTTGAAATGACGACCCCACTACCAGTAACTGAAGTCATGTAAAAGTAAAATAAGAGTTGATCCACCATTTGAATTTCCAATTCAGACAACTTGTTACTTTTCTATAATGACACATGGTATGGCAATTACTGTCTGTAGTCCCCTGGAGGAATTAGGGGTCTAGGAAAGCAAAACGTGATGACGTCTGAAGGTATGCGGAAGAAGAGTTGCGTGACAGCCTAATCACAGGAAACTAGAACGGTTATCATAGTAAATTCAGAAGTTGACCCATGTTTAACGCATTTATTGGGTGCGCCGAATCCTTCTGATAGGCTCAATATAATAGGAGAATTCTGTTAATTCGGCTTTGTGTTTGCTAATTTCTCGATTACTTTAGGCTGACAGTTGACAGAAAGACAATTTTCGCCTCGATTCATTAGTCAAACTTGACCATCTGCAAGGTCTTCGATTCACTCACCCTACTCTACAACAGTCACTGCCACCAGCAATGCACCTTTGAAACGGTTGCATAAGTTTTGGTCTTAAATTGCGTCATATGGAAATTCTTAAAAATACTCGCTCCACACCTTTGCTGAGTTTATTTAGTGGATAAGTATTGCTTAGAGAAGAACACATACATTCTGTGGTTCACCAATGGGTTAGGATGATTCCGAGTGTTACCAAAGTGTGAGGGAGATAATCATGCTAGGATCCGAATCCTTAGAATTCCTGGAGGTATATCCTTACACACACAATAAAAATATTGCGTACCCACTGTCTGCATCCCAGACTTTGCTTTCTGATGTTCCATCCCCTTATCACCCTGGTAGGTAGCTCAGTAGAAGCCACACCCACCCATTTACACTGGTGCAAAACAAGGTAGAGTTTGTCGCAGCCCTGTGTCCAAAAAAAAATATACTGAATCGATTATTACTTGATCATTGCAGGAGCGTTAAGAGACATTTACTGCTATTTGTTTCTGTCAGCTGTGGGAGAATTCGTATGCTAATCACATAGCTCCAAATGAATACCATTTGTCAACATCGACTAGGTGCCTCAAAGCATTTGATGATTTCTTTGATATAATTCTAGGATATGCTATCATTTTCTGTCCGGCAATCTAACCTTATTTGTTTTGAATTTACAACTCGACCCAAAAAGTGTCACAGGTGCAACTTTGCAACACACGTGCAAGAGGTAATATTTGATAGTCAAACGATACAGAAGCTGCCCACAAATCATCAGCGTGTGATATCTTTCTGCTTCTTTAATCACTTCACTTCAATGTATTTCCTTGACGCGCATATGCCATTCCAAACACCGCGGATTCAAAATTGCTTCAAGTTTGCTTGATAATTTTATCCACTTCTCTTTACTTGGTGTTTTATTAGTACACAGATTAGGCATCATTCGCTACCCGACTAGGTGTCATTTTTCTGTATTTTAGAATGCAATGATAATAACTTTGTCAATTTGCCATTTATATGAAAATTCAGTTAATTTACTAGAATATTAGGGCATGGAGTTTCTTACCTTCAGCAATCTTCCTAGTAAAATATTTTTTTAATCTTTTATTGATTAAAGTTTTAAACTTTGCAAGCAATGTAAAGCACTTGCGAATATGTTCTAACAAATAATTTGCTAGTTTGACAGTGGCAGTAATTCCTTTCCGTTCCACTGAGAATTTTTATCAATTCTCGAAGACACTTTGACTTTTAGTTTCTTTAGTTGTGCTTTGTTTTCTTAGGGTAATCTAAGAACTCACATTTTATGCCACATTTGGTTTCTTATGAGCATTAACTGCCCGCTATTTTAACCCATAATGCAAAAGACCTTGGTGATGTCTAAGCGAAACTTTTGTGCATAAATGTTGCAATAGGACTTCAACAAATAAATTATAACTGCATGTTTGCCCTTCCATTCCTATTTTTACACTATCTGACAGATATTTACTGCCGGTCAAATACAAGGCCAACCGTAGTCTCAGATCCACTCATCCAAGTTTGATTATGGAACACTGCGGTGTAAAACTCGTGACAGTAGAATTCGGTTCGCAAGGCGGACAAGCCC